AATAAAAATGAGTAAGATACAAAATAAGGGATTTCTTTGTATATATGCCTAAGGCAAGAGAACATAAATATATTTTGTTACTATGCTTTTTTTGTACCTTATCTATTCAACATCTGCCAAATTACCAATGTCAGTGCTACTCCAAGTGCAGTACTATTACTGGGTGCTGGCTAACATCAGCATAAGAATAGTATCATTTAAATGCATACAATATATGGGCCATCTTTCATTACTTCCATTGCATTTTCAAGTATAAATTAGCCTAATGACACTGAGGGTGGCATGTTCATATATCTTATGCCCAATATGAATTTAGTTAATTCATTGTTTTTACACATGGATGGCTCCACAAGGACTTAGTCACCAAGGAGGCAGTTACTAGTACTACGTATCTCATGTTTCCCTTTTTCCTGGATTTCCATTGATATTAATAGCATTAATAGAAAAAAAAACAAACTTTTCCCTGAAAACTCACAAAGCTGAAATCAGGTGAGGTCACAAGGTCTACTAACTAACTCCTGGCAGGGCACTTGTGGTGACATCTAACTAAGAATGTTGATTTTCTTCAATTTTATTTATCCTATCTGAGTGACTAGTGTTACTTCATGGCAGGACCACTTTTATGTCGTGTACGGAATTCTGTTGAGGTGGCTCATGTATTATTTAGTATAGTTAAGTTTTTAAAACTAAAGGAAGACTTAAAGGTTCCTAAATGCTAATCAGAAAAGCTCTCTTCCTGCCTCGACTTCTTCCAAGTTTACAACAATTTCCACCAACTGATGATTATTTTTAACCGTTTGTTTCAGGCTACCAGTTCCAGTGTGTTTGATGAAACCAAAGTACATAAGCTATGGAAGAAACAATTTTGTATATTCATTGCAGTGGCTGAGTAAAATAATCCAAGAAAGTAAAGGCATGTCTAGTTGAACAGGTATTACCAAGTGAATGTTGGAGGATGACAAACTGAATGGTAAATAAAATAATTGGTGTAATCGGTTGTTAAGTCAGTTGTTTGCCTGTCTGATGTTGCTTTTCTGACATGCCTGCTAATCAGGCCTGCTTGTTTGGACATGCCTAAACTCTTCAAAAATGTTCTGAGTGCTAGTGTAAATCAGTTATATTATTTTAATTTGTATGTTTAGAATTTTTATCAACCAAGAATAATGTAAATGATCTGCCATATATTTTCATGTGATTAATTTTCTTAGTAATAATAAAATATTTCATATTTACTTTTTTTCTCTCACCTAAGGGAAAGTTTGCCAAGTTAATTTCTTTCCAACTTTAACATAAAAAAGCTGTGCACTTTACACAAATAAATAGTTGTCTGACAAGTCTTAATTATATATAACAGCCGTTTTACATATTTATAACTTTTTGATTATTTAATCAGATACATTATGTAAACTAATTAAAAACAAGAGATGCAGTGTGGATAAAGCTTTCTGGAAATGTATTTGTTTTGTCTAAATTGTGTGAAAATTATCAAGAACCTTGAATGCCAAAAAATGCCAATTTTGAGATTAAATTATTTATAATTTGAAAAAAAAAAAAAAAATCTCGTGCTTTAATATCTAAGGTCATTAGCAGCATATACAAAATATAATGATAGGGAGGGACTTGTGGGGATAACACCCACGAAAGGAACTTATTTTTTGTTTTTGTTTGTTTTTTTGTTTAGTTCATAGTGATGTTTGTGGATTCTCCAATGTTTGGCACAAACAAATGTGACAAGGTCATATAGTGTTATGACAAAGTATGTAGTGAAAAGGTTAAAAATAAGTTAACGATTAGGATAAAGTGGAGAGAAGGGCATGAAGAAGAGAAGGAAAAGGAAAGGGGGAGAAGAAAAAAACATGCAAAATTTGTTGAGGCAAGGGATGAGGTCCAAGGCAGGGCTGATCCCCTACATTGGGCCTTAGTCTCCGTCTCCTAAGCCCCCCACGACAACAATGGGCAATGAATTGGGGGATTTTGAGAATAACCTATCACTAAACTGGAAAATTTTGTTTCTATCAATGCCTTAAAGGTCAATATTGCCAGTGTGTTTGGGATGCCACACAAGCATTGTTACAGTAGCCACAATTACCTAGGGTCATTTATGTGTGACTGATTAGCCATCTATGTAAAGACAAACCAAACTCACAATGGGCATGGAATGTATGTACATACCATCCCAAGTGGTACCGAGTTGAAAAGGTTTACATTAGTACAACACATTCTGATCAATTACAGAAAAAAGTCTATAGTATATCATTATTTACTAAATTTTAACCCATTCGCCACACGTGGCAAGAATAGATGCCATGCCCACTTTGATATACGTTCATTTATTGTATTTACACATAGATGGCTCTACAAGTTCTTAATCACCAAACAGCCAGTTATCAAGAACTACCTATTTCCCCTCTTTACCCGTTTCCTTCACTTTAGGAAAGGGTTTTCTGTATCATTTCATTGTCTAAAATATTCTAATGACAATTTAATAATCATAACATCAATAACAATAATAACAGTGTCGATAGCAATGCTATTAATTTTCCCGCCAATTCAATGAATGGAAAAATCAGAGTCGGTAACTAGGGCCTACTGATAGACTCCTTGCCGGCAGAGCCATCTGCATGTAACAAAATTCACCAAAAATTACAGGGGACAGAACATAAATCCGGGGCGAACGGGTTAATAAACAGAGGAAGTATCAAATTTCTGCCTTAGAAGAAACTTTTTGGATCCTGGTGGCAACTCTCCCGATTGTGTGACTTATAGGCCTGACCACAACACTCGTGCAGTATCAGAATTCCTTGCCTCCCCTTTGAAATGTTTCTATCTCTTTTTCTGCATAAGCATTATTTGCTTTGCCATTTTCCAAAGTCTTTACGTGTCACATGATAAACTGTATCAAGATCAATATTGTCTCTCAAGGCAGACTACAACTCTGCAATAACAATAATAATAAGGAAATGTGTTATTTGCGCAATTCTTTATTATTCTTTATTTCTATATTATTCAATTTTCTGTAACACCCTGCACTATTTGCCACAGCAGGCAGGAATAGGATCCTGAGCATGAAAATGGTGTCCTCCCTGGAGCCAGCATTCTTCCAGCCATGCTTGTAGGTGGTACATTCCACCCTTATTTACTAGTGGAAATAATGCAAGAGTTCCAATATGTCCACCGAGTCTAATCTTCCTCCATGAGCTTTGTGTACTCATGACAAGTCATTCCTGTCACCTGACCCTTCAGACATTTTTTTTCATGACACAATTACCTTGTAAAATGGGTTTTCTACTTCTAAAGTAACAATTTCCTGTACACAAAATCAAAGTTTCAGCATATTTACTGAGGACAGTTCGGGGCTCTTCCACAGACAATGGTTAATGGTTACAAAACAAATATGAGTAGGAGGATGGATGTTGTCAGTCACTTTAAATGTAGAGGGAATGGGAGCAGGGAGATTGGAGGCTGAATAAGGTGTAGGCATGTTATCTTGGGTTATAAGTAGATAGTTTCTGAAGTGGAGTTGATTGGGAAGCTCTGAGAAAGAAAGATTTTCTTATGAGGAAGAAGAGTAGACAGACATTTGAGGGGTGGAGGAACATTTAGCTTGTCTTTTGCAATGAGTCGAGTGAGGAGGAGGGGGGGTAGGTACCATGGAAGTAGAGACTGGAGTCTCTCCATTTAGAATAGTGGTAGAGATTAGGGTATATGGATTTAGAAAAGCAAAAGAATTTGACTGGAAGGGAGAGGGAGTAGAAGTGAGATAAGAGAGAGATTGGAGGGGATTTAGAAACATCTTTGGGGAGAGAGGGAGGGGCAGAACAAAGGGTAGCACTGGAGCAGGGACTAATATAAAATCCTTGTTTGCATGTATCATATAGTGATGCCATGTTTGAATCTGAGAATTCTACCTCTGACTCAAACCTGTAGCTAGGGCAGCCCCATTATGGAAGCCACCACAATTGGCACATGTGCATTATTGTGCAAGGCTGATTGATCGATTACAATCAGGCTGAGCACATAGAGAATCTGGTCATGGGGCGTCCATGCTTGGCATGGTGGCCTAGATGCCAACAATTCTAACATTGATTGATAGGGAAGGTTGATATGGTCGGACAGGGAGGCACTCTCCTCCATTATGGAAATATAACTGGAAAGAACAATTATGTACACCTGTATTCGAACTCCATCAGTACTTTGTGTTGCCAATATCAACTTCTGAACTATTCAGTGCCTTATGATCACCTTTTTGATAAATTCCTTAGTGCTACATTTTCAAAGTCAAGTACTGATCTACAGCCATAGATATTTGCTCATTGAGTAAACAACCAAAATGCCTGTTGTCATAACCAGAAAAAAACACAAACCGTGCACACTGTTTTGATGCCAACTATAGAGAAAGAAAGCAAAAAGTTACATGAGAGCTTTGGGAATGAGAAGCAAAGAAAGACAAGCATGTGGATGTTCTTCTTTAATAATCTTATCTTGCCTTGGTTCTGCCAGACTGATTGGGAAACCAATCAACTACCTAACCTTGTGGACAAAATCATGAATAAGGACTGCAGACTTTGACCAGTGAAGGCAGCACCTGTCAGGCAGTGTTCAACTAGCAATACATCATAACCTTAGAAAATTGCCCTTTACTATGCTGAAAGATCCTAATACATGCATTTACAAGTAAAATAATAGATAACATGTTACCAATTGCATTTTTTCAAATTTGTGTATAAGCCATATGCCACCAGGCATTCAAATGCTCAAATATTAGAAGTAAGTGCACTCATCTGCTACTACATTTGAGACCTTGAAGTATCACAGCCCAAACTATATTATTTTCATCAACATCAAATTCAGGTATTATAATATCAATTATTATCATTGATGATTAAATAAAACATCATATGTGGATACAGAAATGAAAAGAACAGGATTTTGTAATTTTATTCTGACAAGTAGTAAATATGGTACAATCCCCAGATAAACCATGAGACAGGACGACTAGTGAAAGTGCATTTGGGGCCAGGAAATAATTGATACAAGATTTTTTGTACACATTGTAAAAGTCATAACTCAAAATTAACACATTTACATTTCTATTTACAACAAGCCTCCATAACAATAATATCATATATGAAACAAAATAAAGCTTCCATCATATCTAATAATTACAATAAAAAAAATAATTTACATATCTTGTACACCAGTGTACTTTCACAAAAATCACAAGTAAAATGGTTTCAACCAAAATTTTTACTTCTAGTAAGTAAATGGTTTGACTTGGTTTTGTTTGAATTTAAACTTTGTTGTAAGACCCTAGGCTTACCAAAGCACATCTGTCCCGCTGAAATTCCAATGCACTTGCGCAATCTTGACTTCTGTCATCAATATAAGTTATTTGGTTGCTTGTCTTTACTTAAAGCTGAAGAAATTTGTTTGATGGATACAATTTCCTAACATATATCATGAATATAAATATGGTATTTGGATTACATTTGAATGAGTAATATATGGAGATTACAGTACTCCTCAAAATTTGAAAAAAGAAAAAAAAAAAAAAAAAAAAAAGAAAAAAGAAAAAAAAAAGTAAAGACAGAGATAGAACAAAAGAAAAAAATGCACGTACTGTAATCCCATTTCTCTGTACCTGAAGCAACTACAGGAGTATTCAGTGTTAATAAGAAATTCCTAAAAATTTACTGGTTCTTAATTTCTTTGCTGCAGTGATGATGCTTCAATTCAGGTCTTGGTATCACTAGTAGCAATGGGATATGGCTGCTTTATCATCATAGTTTTCTCACTAGTATTCTTGGCCCATAACACGTAGTGCTGTCACATTACAATGTATGTAAAGAGGTAACACTATAAGCTGGGGCTTGACTCAGCTCCTGAAAACAATGATATCTCAAAGGCTGCTGACTTGGTCTCCAGCAGTTCTCTCACCTCACTCAGTTCCCTACATTTACTTGAAATCTTGTCTAAGCAATAAATAATCCAGAACACATTTCATAGTTTCCTTCAATATTCTATAATTTGTGTCAATTACGAAATCAATTTTCTCCTTTGCTGAAACACCACAGAGGAGTTGAGCAAGCAACAGTGGTGATACTGTGATGCAAACAAAGACATAGTAATCACTGACAAGGTGGCTTTCCTAACATCAATCTAGCTCATCCTCAAACATGGATCTTGCTGGAGCTGATCTCGAAGATGGGGTATTGTTGCTAGTTGACGAG